CAACTGCACAGCAGCATTGACGTCCCACTTACGCGCGCGGAGCCATCGAAGCAAAAGAGCATCTGGATTATCATAACCGATGGAACAAAATAATTCGTCTCCAAGGACAGAGTCGACAATATCCAGAGCTGGTAACGAAGTTTGATCACTGATGGCATCGATGAGAGCTATCCAACAGCTTTTAAGAGTATCTATCTGCCTCCTATCAAGATTATCTAATACGAAATCGGTTCAGAGATCTGAATTAATCGCTTTTACTTACTCACGTGTCCATGATCGTTCGCCGTCATCTATCCAATTGTGTAATGATGTCAATAAATCTAAGTAGAACGAGATTAGTTTGGGTAACTATTATTTTAACTGGTAATAGAATTCAGAGACGAAGAAGCAATACTGGTTGATTCACCTATTTCATTAATTTGCCGGGTAGTGTCAAATTCAAATTGACCATTTTATAATTTGGGAATTTCAAAGGGTCTTCATACATTCCATGAATTTAAACTAGAAAACTTTCTTTCTTCTAACTGGAAATCAACTCAGCGGATTGAACTTTGTCACAACTGAGTGTTTCAGGTGTCGAATAGTCTACATGTCTATTATGTCTGGGATCACTGGATATAAGTCTCAGACTAGGGGTGTTACTTTATTTTTATTTTTATTTATAATAAAAAATAAACAAGTAACGCTCGTCCGTGTGACTCGCTTGACTCTCGACTGAATATTCGGCTCCTTTACTGTTATATACTGCTTCACGGCCTTCAACAAAGCTAGTATTCAACATTTCAAAAGGATGGATAGGTGTGTAGACGTTGATTTCAGCGTCAGTTTTGTTATCCACAATGGCATGCGGATCCGTGTGATCATTTTTGTCATAAATTCATCTAATCAAACTGATGTCCATCCATTAATACTTAAACTGAAATCTAAATGAACTACACTACGGTAGCAGTACCCGCACGCATCCAAAAAAAAGAGATTATATTTAATTTTTTGTGCGGTCACAAAGAAAAACGCGTTCCCGACACCATCGTGAAAATGCTTCATACTTGTAACAATTCTACTAGAAAAATAGGATCTTAACTGAGCTTCTAGCTTAAAAGAAATCATATTATATCTGATCTGAAATCAGAATGCCATGCTTGAAAGAAGCTCGTACTCCGGGTAGTTGTCAGACTTCATAAATAGTCTGAATATGTCTGTATGCATTCCCACATGTGAATGAACGTAGACAAGAACACACAGAAACAGAAAAACTCCATTTTATTTCATTCATATCTACTTCCGATACAGCAAATATGAATTCTTTGAGTGATGCTTTCCGTCAAATGTACTAATCGAAATATTGTGTACCTGTAGAAAAGCCATTCTCACACTTTACTTCAAAATATTTCTCAGTTCTTAGCCACTGCTAGTCCCTATTCAAACCCATTAGATCTCGACTGTTAACTTTTATTCGATGAATCCCAACAATTTGTAGCAGTTCTTCACAGAATTTTCCAGTGCAGCGGCTAGTCTCTCGTCGGTGCCCCTCCGGGGCGCCACTCGCCACTAGCCGCTGCCACGTGTAATTGTATTCCTCCATAACTTCATCCTGTTTTATTTACACTCCACCTGATCCGAGGGTCAACTTACTTCGAAAATTCCTGAAATTTGTAGCACGATAATTCTCGACGAGAACTCTAAATGGAGGCTTTGTTGTAAGCTATTCCTGATTTCTTCGATTTCATTGTCTAGCTGAAAAATCAGAGTTTTATTGAAATTTCTCATTAAGGAAATCTTAGTGCAGTATCCTCAAAAATCTAGCATTCACAGATCTTTTGTGAGGCGAGTCTGAAGCATGCTTGCAATGTGAATGACTAATCGTTCGTCGGCGTTCCTTTGGGACGCCTGTCACGACTAGTCGCACCTTTTACACGAGTGCACTTAAGCAATAGTTGCTCATTGCCCATTGAACATAAAAGATATGACATCATTTACATATATCTTTTTATATTACTTTCTTCAACCTATACCAGCTAGAAATAGCACGAGTCAGAACTCCTGAAAACATATACAAGGTTAAAAATATGTTTTTTTCATAATAGTAAATAACAATACATGACAATTTATTGCTACATCCCAGCTTGAGGCCCTCGCCTATCTATGCATACATTTCCTGAGATCATAGATTTAACCATATAGAAGAACGGATGTAGATACGATCGCAAAATCAGTCCTATTTGACAATTATAAGAAAATTCAGCGAATCTTTATCCCTTTTCTCCATCATTTCAAAAGGCGTTAGTGCCATTCTTTGTGCATAGATGGCTTTTATTATGTCTTTCAAAACTGCGAAGATACGAATATTCGAAATGCTTGGGCAGCATCTCCTCATGAAATCATGATAGTATTTCTATACCAAACATATAGGATTGCAAAGATGTGAATAACTTGGATCTCTTGGAGATTTAACAGGTATTGCCGAACCATTTCCAATCTTCATGCCTTTGCAATTTTTGAAGACATACTAAAAGCTTTCTATGAACAAACAATGGTTTCGGTGCCTGTTCGAATAATAGCGAAAACGGGTATAAATTGGCGGCACTTTTTATAATTATCAAATAAGACCGATTTCAGTAGCATATTCACGTCTATCCTCTGCATATAATTCATGAATAGCCGAAAAAAGCTTCGTGGTAACGACGAAAGAGTTACTTAATTCATAACTATTTTCATAAAATTGGGAAAACTCACACTATTCGCTATCACTTTCTTCTTTTTCATATGTTTAGACACAATCTAGAGCCGACATATACCGTATTAGCTGACAATATAGTTAAAATAATACGGTTTCCGAAAAAATTCAACTCAAAATTTTGAGAAACTAACTTCAGATTCGGATTCTCCGACCTCGATTTGCTTTCGTCAACCTTAATAAAAAATTCATCTTTTATGTTTTTTTGACCTTGGCACAAACAGACAGACAAACTCTTTTCACTTTTTTTCACATGACCCTCCCTACAGTCGAGGGAACAATGACCATTGGTCTTTAACCCTTTGGCAGCCGACATAAAGGAAGGAAGAAATGATTTTTCAGAAAATTTATTTGTCGTTTTTCGAATGGTTCTGGAGCTTGTCCTAGTAAATTGGTGAGTTGAGGAGCACACGGTGCCTAGCGTTTGTTCTTACGTAAATGCATCTAAAAAAGATACATTATGAATGACTTTTTTGGTTCACGCAAAGATGAGGCTTCCGACGCATATATGCGTCAGCGGCTGCCAAAGAGTTAAGCGGTTTTTTTGACCTTGATGTTCTTTTGCCCCTGCCACAAGACGACAAACTTATTTTATTTCATATGACCCTCTCTTCAGTTGAGGGAATAAAATCTTTATATTTACAAAATAAAGATAAATAAAATCTTTATATTTGTAAAATAACGATAAATAAAAAAATGATTCATCTTTATAAAATGAAGATAAATGAATTCTTTATTTCCAAAAATAAAGATAAAATAAATAATAAAGAAAGTTTTTTTCTATGAGAACCCAAATTTTTAATTTGCATCAAATAGTTTACAAAAACTTATGGTATCGTCGACACAAAGAAAATATACAGAAGGGGTTTTTGCATACATTTTTTCATGTATCAGCTTCATTTGCTAATAATATCACATATCGAAACGATGTTAGCAATAAGAAAAATTATTGATTCACAGATCCTATTGTTACACTAGGTATTTGTCTAGTCACCTATCATAGAAAAAATTTTCTTTGTTCTATATTTTATCTTTACTTTTCGAAAATAAAGAATTTATTTATCTTTATTTTATAAATATAAAAATTTTATTTCCCTTTATTTTTCAAATATAAAGATTGCATTTATATTTATTTCATAAACTAAAGATAGAGTAACACCCATATCTCAGACAGAGAATACTCTAAAAAGAAGGCTTCATGATTGCATTTAACTGAAAAATATTTCTTGAGAAAAAAAATTGGTCCATAGAGAGTCCAGTTTAGTTTACTAGCAAATCCACAAAAAATATTTTGTAAAATTCTTAGATTACATATTGAGAGAGTAGCTATCCAATTCGACCTATAAAATCGGTCAGTCAGATTTATTCGAAATAATACTTTTCTGTAGAATTATACAAAAAATAAAAAGATTTGCCGTATAAGTTGGATCACTTAAGCTCAATCTCTTACGATTCAAACGTTTTATTTGCTCTTCATTTAGAACTTATTTACGGATTCAAATGCGAGGACATTTATATGCTAGAATAAAAACAAGTATTATTATGATTATTTGATGACTCATTCAGATCAGATCTTGAGTCAGTTTATACTCGAATTTGAATAAACATTTGATATGAACGAGTTGGCCGATGGTTTTTCCATCACACATTGGCCTCTCGCTAAAGAAATTTTTCTCTAGATGTTAAATTGATTTTCGCATCTTCAGAGCTAAACTTATCCTATACAATGACAAAATATGACTATTGACGTCTTACCTTTTTTCTAAATAACTGCTTACCGATCAATAAATGCACAATATCGTTGCATCATACAAACACAAACGAAAAAGACGGCCCTCGGCTTTTTTTCTTTCTCTCATTCTACCTATTTGCTGCGCACTCTTCACGTGTAACTAACAGACACAAATATCTTTAATGATTTGATATGCTTCAAAACGCACGTGGTTATACGAAATTGCCCATGTTTATCTAAAAATCATAAATAAAACAATTACAGAGATGAGCAACGCCAATCCAAATCCGATAGCTTTCGTTCGTTGCCATTTCGAGTGAAAAGGCGACAGTGGTGATTAAAGAATAATGTGTGCTGATTCCTTCTTTTTACAAACGGCGTGCGGACGTATATTCTTTCTTTCCTTACATAATATCACTACGTATAAAGTTTAATGTTTATCTAATTCCGTGTTAATTTTTAATCACGTTTTCGGCCTCGTGATCGACAAGATTAATTAATTGACCCGAAAAACGAAGAAATTTAAACTCAGAGATGAGTGAACGACATCTCACGTCTTCTACTTATCCTCAACAACAATGGCAACAGAGTCAGAAACCAAGTTCTAATGGAGGTCATCAAGGTCATTTTATAGTGCCTTCTTCACAACGACCACATTCAACTTCGGATGATGATATGACGGAACATGAAGATTTTACTAATGATGCATCCACTAAAATTGTTCAACGTCGTCATAAACGAAAACAGGTTCAAATTACACACAATTATAATACGAGACAAAACGCCAATCGACAGTCAAATCCACGGACAACAGCAGTTCAGTTCGATTCCACTCAGTTAAATCAGTCTATTCAGTCTACTCAATTTTTTCAGTTAGATCAGCTTATTCAGCCGAACCAGCAACAGACAGAAACGATGACTGCTTCAACATTTAACAACGATCAATTAACTGAAGAAGCTGAAAAGTTTGCACGTACACGTTATCCATTTCCACCCTTTATTGTTCGTTTTCCATCATCTAATGTAAACGAACAGAAGGTATCAGAGAAATTATGTAAACATCTGAAAGACAATAAACATGTTCAATTGGAATTAATTGGATATCGTCGTTCGACTCTTAAATGTGCGAGGACCTTTCTCAGTTCTGTGATGAAAAGTCAGTGATGTTTGGAGATTTTAATATAGACCTAGAGAAAGATGGTAAGATTGCGGAAGAGTTTCTAGAGTGGGCAGATTCTTGTTTTTTATCACCTTTTACACCAGAAAATTCCACTAGCTTAAGACCGGATAGAGTAATAGACTATGCACTTTCTTCCAGATTTTCTGTTGATTTACAAACTTATGAAGGAACAACAACAAGTGATCATAAACCTATAATTTCCTCTATTGCTATTAAATCAAAAGTCATAAAAGAGTGCAGAAGTATTCATTTTAAAGTTTTTTCTTTTTTTTTTAATCAGTTGTCTATTCTTTTTGGGAAGCCTTGTGGAATTTGGATAATTTAGACAATGTTTATAATGATTATAAACGATTTCTTTTTCTTCTGTCAGCTCGCTGCACCACATATTTTCCCATTGAAAAATATCGGGTAGCAATCCCAAAAGAGCTACGAGCTCGCTTTTCACTTATTCGTGCGCTTTCATTTAGACAGAAACGTACTGGAGATTTAAGTTTAAAAAATGCAGTGAATCGACTAAGAAAGGAATCGAAATACGAATTAAAATCTTTTATGAGTTCGTGTTTATCATACAGTCTCTCAAAACGTCATACGTCCACCCCAGTTTCTACAGCCTTCTGGTCTAAAACAAAAAGTTTTTTTAAGGGAAAATCTGCCTCGTTAAAGGCATTGATGCATCCGAATGGAGAATTAATTAAGGACGCTAAGAAAATGGCAGAGTTTGCTGCTGATTTTTACGAACAACATTTTGAAGAGCCAAACCCTGAAGAGACTATTCGGCCGCACCCAATTTTGGATGCTCCTCATACTGATTTCGATAATTATGATGAGGCAATTCCAGAGGCGACAATAGAAGAAGTCTTAGAAATAGTTCATAAGCTTAAAAAGAAAAAGTCGTGTGATCCACATGGAATTTCAAATTATTTTTTTAATTTTGTGCCTAGTAGCTATTGGTCCCTACTACTCAAAACATTCAATTATTCGTTTTCGACCGCGATTCAGTCTACTGCCTGGAAAGATGCGCGAATGATCTTACTTGCAAAAAAAAGAATTTATTTGTACTCCAGCCGAGACTCGCCCGATATCATTGCTAGACGTATTTCTGAAAGTTAATGAGCGCCTGTTTACGAACCGTTTTCGAAGATTGTTGGACAGACGTGGTCTTTTACCCGACTCACAATCCAGTTTTAGACCAGGTTTTCGTCTTCAAACGAGAGTCCTCCTTTTTATTGAACAAGTATCTTCTTTAATGTCAAATTCTTCTCCGGTCGCTAATGTTTTTATAGATTTTCAAAGCGCTTTTGATCGTATGTGGATAGAAGGATGTTTAGCTAAATTAAGAAGAATGGGAATTCCTCGTTCTTACTTAAAATGGATTAGGACATGGTTAGAAAATAGGTGCGGTTTTATAGAAATCCAAGGAGTAAGATCTAGATGGTTTAGTATCAGAAGAGGAGGTCTTCAGGATTCATGTTTTACACCTACAATTTTTATTACTTTTCTCTCAGACATGGGTGATTTTCTGGAGGTGTGCATTCCGTTCTTTTTTGCAGATGACCTTGCTGCAGTTCTAGCTGGCAGAATAGGGGTTAAGTATACCGAACAATGCATCGATTTAGAAAAAAGATTAAAACAATTTTTTGATAATTTAGAACTATATTCTCTGTTACACCTCCAACCCATAAACTATTCTAAAACAATGAGTATGTGGTCAGCAAGAGCAGTTACAAATCCTCTACCTAAAGTTTCCTGCGGTGGCAATGATATTGACTCGGTTAAAAACTTTAAATATCTAGGATACCACATCACTGAAAAATTACGTTGGGGTATGATGATCAAAAAAACGCAGGAAAAAATTAGACAGCGAATAAATATGATTAAATATTTTCGTTTTAATAATACAACTTCATACGAACTTAGAAGAACTTTGTTTTCATGCTTTGTGTTACCGCTGTTTACATGGTTATTTGCGATCTTTCCACTTTTCACTGTTAAACAGAGAAACGATTTATCACATTTTTATTTTACATGTTTAAAACGTTTAGCATTTCATTTAGAATGAGATGATCTGTTTTATGCGTTTGTATTCAATGAAAAATCATTAGAGGATAGATGCGCAGCCTATTGGGAGAGATACCTTTTTGCCTTGTCAGAGTCAATCGATGGAAGGTTACTTCTCGAACAGGCGAATTTGAATTCACATAGAACTATGTGGAGAGATAGTGAGATGAGTATAAGAGGACTGCGAATGTCTAAACGGTTTGTAGATTATGTTTCGGCCTTGGAAAAATGTGTTTCGTGGTGTAGTGACAATATCTCCATTGAGTCAATTCCCTGCTATGATATGAACTAGATTTCCTTACTTGCTTTCTTTCCTGAGACCTTTTGAGTAAATGAGTGTCTTCTGACTGTATTCTATTAATAATTTGTAAGGAGAGAAAGATGTACTGTATCTGTAGTGTGTGAGAAGATTAAAAGGAAGGATCCAAGAATTAGAATATACATTTTTTTTTGTGTGTGTTAATCTGTGTAATCACGTCGTTTGTTTCAAACTTACTTTCTATCATATGTATTAATTATTAACGTTAACCTTGTATTCTTTTTCTTTAAATGTTGTACTAATAGGACCTGATCGGTCATATGTTATTGCAAAAATTTAAAAAAAAATAACAATGTGTGCTCGTGTTATTGTTCTCCTACACGATACGCACTAGGATGTATCTGTAATTTTTTGCTCGCTGTGTTGATGGAAAAGAGAGATAGGCGAAGAAAAATGAAAAAGAGTGTGCACTGCTGCCCTTGACTATCTGTCAATTATTAGTGAAAGTCTCAGCAACATAAGCGCCTGTTCAGGTGATTCTATAAGGTACAGGCAATTCAAACTTCAATAAAAATTTTTTTCGCCTTTTTTTTACATCGTTTGATACAGCATGAACTGCTGATCACAAAAAAAGCTACTTTTTAGCATTAATAAATGCTGTTTTTAGGTCAAACAAAAACGAGAAACTTGAAGGGAGTCAGTTTTTTCGAAAAACACAACTTTTTCAGAATGTGCAAAATTTTCTGCTCCGTTCTTTCTTTCAGCTTCAGAAAATATTATTTTCAGATACAGCATCAAAAGCTGAGTATAAACAAGTCGTTAAATCGACACTAATCCCAGAACTATCTTGATGATGACGCTTCGAATCACGCTGAGTGGCATCTGTATAGGTCGTTTTTGTAAACCTATCTAGTTTTTCTATGTAAGTGATGAAGGCAGATTTTTTTCTCATTTGACTCATCATACCAGCAGTCACAAAAGTGTACATGGATTTTTTTTCTTTTTTTGTCGAGAATAGGGTGTTACTTTATTTTTATTCTTATTTATAATAAAAAATAAATATAAATAAAATCTTTATTATTTAAAAAATAAAGATCAATAAAAGCTTTATATTTGTAAAAGAAAGATAAATAAAAAAATTATTTATCTTTATAAAATGAAGATAAATGAATTCTTTATTTCCAAAAATAAAGATAAAATAAATAATAAAGAAAGTTTTTTTCTATGAGAACCCAAATTTTTAATTTGCATCAAATAGTTTACAAAAACTTATGATATCGTCGACACAAAGAAAATATACAGAAGGGGTTTTTGCATATATTTTTCCATGTATCAGCTTCGTTCTCTAATAATATCACATATCGAAACGATGTTAGCAATAAGAAAAATTATTGATTATGCGTTCATTTATCATGTTAAAAAACCATGTAACTCAATAATTCAGATATATTGTTGTACTAGTAATGAATATCAACAATTGATATTAGTTATTCGATCACACAAGAAATCACATATAATGACATCGTTGGTACACCGACAGATGAGGTCCGACATTTGAGCCTTCAGACATTTATGGTTCCGTAAATATCAACGTGAAGAATTATGATGCTTATGGACTTTGTTAAAGAAACAAATCTAGAAACTAAATAAAGCTCTCGCTCTCTTGAAAGATTCTTGTCTTGCACATATACGAAAACGCTGTGGCTGTGTGAGTGTATGTCGAAGAACTGAGAACTGACATCCATACCCCCACCCACACCCTCGCACTCGCATGCACACCAAAACTCTGGCCCATACCCACATCTTCCAGTTGCCTATAAAAGGCTCAAAAGTCTGGAGCTGAACTATCGGGGCTCAACTGTCTCAGGTTCAACTGTCGTGTCACTGACATCGTTTACTAATCTAATTTTCCTTATTTAAAATTGATTATTATCATGATTTACTATAGTTATATGTTGTGCACAATTTCCAAAAAAAGGTATGAGAAATCAAAATAAGTTAATCGGCATTATGTTTCCTGCAAAAACAAAAATATGTCTTTTGTACAAAAAGAGCCATAAAGGCTTAAAAATACGCATAAAATTAATGCAATAACAGACTTACAATCATCTCTATTCCGAAAAGAAATCAATTCAATACTGAAATTTTTTTCGTAATGAAATATGTTGAATTTTGAAATATATTATGTATGTACTGCGCACTGTAAATATATTTAAACACATTACAAGGGGATAATGAAGACGAAGTTCTAGCATCAAGAGTTTTCTTTTTCAACAGATTTTTTTTTTAATAGCACAAATCATATATTAAATCACTTGTGCATTAAAACATCTTCTATTCGATAGAGTCTGATGAGTAACAAAAGAGTAGAAAAATATTTTCCTTTGTTGGATATTTTCACAAATTCGATTTCAAAAAGAACATAAGATTAAACATATACTTATCTACGGAAAAAAGTAACTCTTTTATACCAAAATGGTCAAGATTTAATTATGGTTTATCTTTTTAAATAAAATATGATTGATTTACTTGAAACTAAATGTTTAATTGTCGTTTGTTTTGAGAAAGCAGATTGCCAGTACGGTTAGAAGAGCGTTAAATCTTTTTTTTCCACGTTGGAAAAAAATCAAAACAAGATAGATTAGTGAAGACTTGTCTGATAAAACG